CACTGGGTGACAATCGAACATAAACTTGCACAATTGCTGCATTTCATCACCTTTGGAAAGGAAAAAGATTTGCTATAAAAATATAACGAAAAGCACCAGAAAAGGGGAAGGTGATTCTAAAAATGTCACCTGATTTCACTGGCCTTCTGTTCTTCTGTTAATGGAGGGCTATGCAAATGAAAATGAATCTTCCCTGTCAGTGCCTCTGTCACCTTGTTCTGTTTTACTGCCAGACTGCAGCAGTCCTGTGGCAAGTAGCTGATGGCTTCTGGATCAGGCTGACTTGTTTCTGTACAGGCCAGGGGCTGCTGTTTTTGTGAGAACTCAGTCCAGGGCAGGCTGCTTCAGTACCAGCTGGTTAAGACTGCTCTGCCAGCCCTTGCAACTGTTTATCTTCTGGTGGGATATGAAAATTAAACATCATTGGATCTCAAGTTGGGGTTGAAAAAGCAAATCTGCTGTGGTGATTCTTTTATGTTGATCCTTTGGCACCCTTGGGGCAAGCCTTTGCCTCTTGGTACACAGTTGTCACTAATGATTTATTTGCCAAAGTATTTCACCAAGTAACCTTTGGACAGAGTGCAGTTCTCAGTTAATTTTTTTAAAGGTACAGCAGACTAACTGGACTTGTACCCCATAAGCTCCCTCTATTTATACAGGCTGAACAGACAGGCTTTATTCGGTCTGAGAGATTAAATATTTCTGAAGTCTCTAATGTCCCAACTGTGGTGGGCGGCACAATGCTAAGCAACAAACCTGGCATGGTGACAGGCTGCTTAACCGCACCATTGGTGTTCCATTTCTCATAAGAACCTTAACACTTCATTTTAGCTGGCTCCCATTCCCAGTGTTGCGCTGGATCCTGATAATCCATCCATGGTATGCAAAAGTAGGGGGGATCTTTAGTAAAACCCAGATGAAGCAGGTTGACTGACACACAGGGATCATTATTCAGCATAAGGGCTGCTGAACAGTATTATTAAGAACATTAGGAACAGTATTTTTCTAGAAATTATTTTAAAAATTAAAAAAACCTCTAATCTTTGATTGGCTCTCAAATGCAAGAGTAAAGCAGCAGCACTAAAATGCCTGTGGAATAAACAAACTGGCATAAAGTCCTCTTGATGCTCCTGTGAGGACTGGTTTTACAGGCTCATTCCACTTCCACAGAGGCTGAATCAATGGTGTGTTGATTTCAGATGGATGGCGACACATCTGCCTTGAGCAAGGAGAAACCTGGAACAAGTCATGCTTGGAAAAAAACAGCAAGTCTTCTCTTTTGATTATATGAGTGCAGGAACATGACACCTCTGCCGCTCTGAGACTGACTCTTCTAGTGTGAGAAGAGAAATCTTACTGGATGCAAGAGCATTTACAGAGGTATCCAAAGGTCTTGTCAGAGCTTTTGGTGGAAGAAGAAAGGGGCTGTGGTTCCTTAAGAAAGGAGGAAGTCCTCTCTGTATAACTCCCAAAGAAGCCTGAGGTGGCTTCCTGTGTCTTACCCAAGTTTCTTTTGGGATATGGCATATGAGAGAATGTTGCCCCGCGTCCTGAAATGCTTGGAGAAATTTTCAATTTAATGTAAAGCCCTGCAGTAAAACTATCCAAGGAAAGGAACTGAGCTGGAGTACACCACAGGGGTGCATTTAAATAACGTGTTTTGTTTTGCCTTATGGTGGAATAAATGTTTCTGTAGGGCATGAGTATTGAGAAGATTTTGCTGAATGTATTTAAAATGTTACTCTACATTAACTGCCCTGTTTCTTGTCTGGATCAAACTTCTGTACTAGAGCTGCTGAAACATAACTTACGTGCCCCTGATACTTTTATGCAAAGGTTGGTTTCTCAGTGTGAACAGCTGATGAAAGTGATTACAATGCCTTGACATAAATCTGATTCCTTTCAATTTGTGTCTGCTTTGTGCCAGTAAAAACTTTGCAGGTGAGATAATGACCTCTTAAGCTTCTGGGGCTGTCTGCTCAGTGATCACAGCAGGGATCTGATAATGCTGACACTTCTCCTGCTCATCTAGCTTGCTTAAAAACAGTGCTGCAAAAGAATCAGGAGCAGCTGATTTTTGCTAATTTGTTTGAGGTAGGGACTGAAGAATATGGCAGTAAGTTGTTGTTATAGTTAGTTATGTGTGCAAGGCATTTTCCTCACAGTCAGCAGCTGTAGTGTCTCCTTATCTGTCTGTTGCCAGCTAAACCTTATGTTGGTTCCTTGTAGCTGTGACTCCCCCAGCTGTCAGTGAGCTCTGAAAGTCAGTCATTTTGTGAAACTGGGTGCATCTGGTACAGGCAGAACTTCCAGGTCCTTCATGTAGAGCTGCTGATGTCAGGAGAATGCAAAGTGGAAAGTCTGTCAGTCAGCAATGCTTTATATTTTGGTGGCAGGCAGTTTGTCTCCTGTGCAATTTAAAAAGTTGGAGTATAGGAGTAAATATTTGCAGAGCAGAGCTTTTGAGCAAATGCAGATCTCCATTTGAGGATCATTGGCCACTTTGGAGCTCTGGTAAAACTCAGGTTGTGGTTGTCCCATAAGCTCTTGATGTCACTGCTGAGATTTTTCCTTTTTTTCTTCAACATACAGGGCTGTTAGAAAGAAGTTTTTCTTCTCACCTCATGCCCTAAATCTTTACTAAAAATATTTTTGAATTGTCATTATAACCTGAAATAGATGTCAGAGATTCAGCATGGTCTGCAACAGTATGAACTCCTTGGAGTGAATTGGTGAACTGTTAACCATGGTGTAAATTGGAGCCAAAGATGCAGAAGGCAGAGACATTGGCTATTTGACTGCTGCATGTCATTGTGATTAAATGATATTTAGCTGCAGTTCTTTAGGTCAGTGCTAGCACTATCCTCTTTAATTACCCAAATCCTTCCTGAGTGAAGTGCCCTGGAGTGATAGAGCTCAGCTGACTTTGGCTCTGCTCCTTTCTGTGGTGCTGATGAAAGCTCTGTTACCATAGTCTTTCTTATTGTAAAGCACTCTGGAATTATATAGAACAGTGAACACTTGGATGCAGCTTTGAACATAAGGCTGATCTGTCTTTTTCAGCAGGTGGTTGTCTGTTTGCATAGAGGTCTGAACAGTCGTACTGCATTTTCCCTGGGAGAACAGCAAAGGCCTGTTGGGTTTGTCAGCCTGCATGGTGCCAAGTTCACCTGGCTTTAACTTTTGTTGCTCTGACAAATGGAGAATTAGCTTGGTGAGGTGACTGAGATGAAGCACTGTGTATCAGGGGCTTAGAGTCACACAGGGGACACTGTTGTGTGACATGCTCACTGCCTGCATGCATCTCTGCACAGACCTGAAGTGAGTGTGCTGCCTGCTCACCCCCTATGGTGGCATGTGAGAGGCATATGACATCTGTTCCTGAACACCAGGCTGTCCTGCTGGCTGAAGGAAGGAACATGGATCTGCCCAGCCTGTTCCGGCCCAGACTGTCTAGAGCTGACAGCCTGGTTGGAAGCCCTTGGTATTGTGTGAAGCATGCAGCTGAAGGAGAAGACGGATTGAGACCATTCCTAACGCCTCTGAGATGCAAAGAACAGCTCTTCTGGCTTCTCTTGTTCTCTCACAAACTTAGCTGTGGCTTGGCTTTCCTGCTTTGTGGACAGCCCAAGCCACCATAGTTGACTTTCTTTCTCCTTGTCTTTGGCACCAGGCTGTTGGTGGTGGCTTGTGTGATAGCTGAATGTAGCATCACATTATATCCTCTTGTGGCCCTTCTGGAGCTTTTTTTTGAGCGCTGTTTTTTTTTGTTTGTAATTTGTTGGGTTTTTTGTTTGTTTGTTTTTCCCTTTCCCTCGCAAGACACTGCTGTTCCCAAAGATAAGATGCAGCACAGCTGCCTCTCCAGCATTGGATGCAGAATTTGAGCTGCTGCTGGGCCACCTGTTCATCATAAGTGGTATTTCTGACGCAGAACTTGAGACTTGTCCAGCTTTGGGATTACTTGGAGCAGATACTCAGCTGTACTATTAATACCATCCATCTTAAAATCCCCAGACCTTGGCTTAGAGCCCTTCACTGGCCTTTTTTGACTGAATGGTTGTTATGAGGGCTGAAAGTGGGAGTGTTACTGCTAATAGGAGTTACAATATTGCTGCAGAAAGGCAAACTCTCAGAAAAAAGAAGTATTTGTGGGAAAAATGTGTTCTTTGTGGCTTAGATCAGGGCCTTGCCCATTTAGAAGTGCTGGTCTGTGTATGACTGATCATGGGCTCAGACTTTATGGCTGTTTTAAGGGAGCAGCTATGCAAATCCTTCCTAATAGGAACCTGAGTCCACTGTAAGCAATAATTAGCCCATGGATGAAGAGTAAAGACTTGAAGGAATGGTAGATGCCCACCTAGAGAAGACCATCATTGTACTGAACCTGACTATAAGCTGTGGTCTGCCATAGGCCAAATGTTGTATATTAACCTGAATAGAGCTATGCTGTTTAACCTCAGAATTATTCTTTGGGAATATGATTAGATTTATTTGCAGCAATGCCCTTTCACAGTGTAGCTTTGCTTTTGATAAAAGTGGAAGCACTCATTAGACTAGGTAATTTCTGAGCTCTGTGTTTCAAGACATCCTTATCCATATCTCTATCTTAAAAAAACAGAACAGCTCTCCCTTTTGCCTTCCTGACAGATGTGTCTGACCATTTGTCTGGTCAGAAAATCTTAGTACTTGTGTGTGTATGCATACCCAGGCAAACCATCCCACTGTTCTAAAGCTTTCCTTGGTATTGTTTCACACATGCTATGGTTTAGACTTGTTTCCATCATGGCTTTGTGAAGGTTGATCACAAAACAAGTGCAACAAAGCTTCCTAGGAGTGATTGGAAATTCAGCCAGAGGATGGATGGCGAATGAAGGACAATACGTGTTCATGTGAAGTTTAGTTTTGGAAAAACAGATACACAGTTGGATAGCAAGACATTCAGTCAAAGCAGGCCTTGTCTTTTGAGTGTCTTTCTCAAGGAAAAAACAACCATGTGCTTTGAAAGAAAAGCTCTGTGGCAATTCTGTACAACTGTTCCTCACTTCAGTGTTGACCTCAGCAGTCCAGGCAAGGAAAAACTCATGGTGGGAGATCCCCTGTAAATCAGGCTCTCATGGGGAAAGGTCTTGGTGACAGTGGGCAACAGGGATATGTACTTTGTGTGTCCAAGGTGTTATCCAGACCTCAAAATAGCATCTCAGCATCTGTGAATAAAAAGGGAATAGGTGAGAAAAGTCAGGTGTCTGCTGATCTCAGCATTGCAGGCTGTGATGAGGTAGGAGAAAACACCATCCTTTCGTCTGCCTGCTTTATCCTAGAAAAATACTGTTTGCTAAGTAATCCTGTCTAGTGGGAAAGCCTGTGTAAAGTGTCTCCCACCCAGGAAATCTATTTGGCACCTACTCTATTTCTGCACACTATCCTCAGTCACTCAGGAATATGGGCCAGATAGATGTGTCTGGTTCAAATCCTTGCAGACAGGAGCTGGCCCTGGATGCATGAAAGATTATAACCTGGCCTCACCCCAGCTGTCTCTCCAGAGGAGAGGCTTGTACACATATGAAGACACGGCAGAGCTGCTCTAAAAGTGATTGTACAGCTAGAGATGGCAAAGAATCCCAGTTCCTGGGCACCCCAAATGAATTGAACACATACCCGTTGCAGGTTTTTTTCCCTTTGAAAGTGACAGCTGTCCAAGCTGGAATGATCCCTCTTCTCACACACAGTGCGTTTGAGTTCTACGTGAAGCATGTACTTCAGCCCTCTGACAATCTAGAGAAAGCAGTTTTCTCCTTTAAAATGGGGGCAGGGAAAAGAGATGCCAAAACTTTGCTAGGAGTCAAGTGCTACACCTGAGAGCTGTGTGTCACCTACACAGAGCCCTCCTGCGTAGCAGTGCTATAGGGGACAGCTATAGCAGTCCTGAGGAAGATCAGGGATGTTGTATCTTGGATGTGCCATAGGAGGGTCAATTAAAAGATGGTTTGAAGGACCATCAGGAGTCTGCTGCTCTTACCTGTACCATGGCTTTCTTTATCTGTGATTCCTTAAACAGAAAGAGGTCATTGGAGCTATTGTTGTATCTGTAAACCCCAAAGCGAGCGGCCTTGCGGACCCCGGGGTTGTTGGTGTTCACTGGGACAGGGGAGCCAGGTCTTATGGTTGAGTGGGGTGGTGGTACATTTGTAACTGAAACAATACAAAACATCAGGGTAAAACACCTCAGGGGCTTGAAAGGGTGGGAGCTTCAGCCCTCTGAACCAATGCTAAACTCTTTTACTTGTCCAATGCATTTGTACTTCAGAAGGTCTCTGCTCGCATCTGTTACAAAATAATTTTCATTTGTATGAAAATGTCTGAAATGGTGGAATAGTCCTAGGAAATTAAGTGACATAAAGAGATGCTGCCAAAAGTGAAAGTAGAGCTCAAAATGACATGGAAGAAGTCAGATTATCACAAATATTATTTAAATGTCTCTGATATAACTCCCAGTTTATAGAAGGACCAACTTTGAATCTGCTTATAAAGATACATCATGTTGCTCAGAGCACAGTATAGTTTTGATAACATATCAAACAGTGGCTCGAGAGTCCTGCTGCTCTTAATTTGCATATCTTATCTTACAGATACAAGTTTTTACCCCACAGCCCACCCTTAAACTTTTGATGGCATCTTGAGGATTTTATGTTAGAAGGATTTAGATGTTAGGAAGAAATTCTTCACTGAAAGAAGACACTAGTATATATTTAACCCCTGGAAGTTTCCAAGTCCAGGTTAGATGGGGCTCTGAGCAACCTGGTCTAGTGGAAGATGCCCCTGTCTGTGGCAGGAGGGACAGAAGTAGATGGTCTTTAAGGTCCCTTCAAACCCAAAAAATTCTATGATTACCAAGGTCATGGAGGATAGAAGCAAGGTGTGTAGGAAATGGAAATTGGGGAGTGTGTGGGGTTAACCTATGACCTTTCACATTAGAGCATTTTATAGAACCACTTACTGTATATTTTTACTTGCCTGTGTAGCTCTTTCCCCATACACCGCTTATTTTTCAATCATTTAAAAGTAGCTCAAAGCTTACAGCTGATATCATTATTTAATCCCCTTTTATATTTCCCTTCCTCTCCATCTTCCCACTTCTGAAATCAAAGAAGAGGAAAAAATCCCCAATCCTGTGGGAGATATCATCCAGCCACTGCTAATGCCAAGGCCTGCCAGTGTAGGAGATGACCCGGTGTGAGTGTAGGCAGTGAGCCTGCATGTGCTTCTGCACACAGAGGTTGTACTAAATCTGCTGTGCTGCGTTTTTCACAGATAGATATCTCACCCACATCCAGCTGCACAGAGCATAGGCTGTGTAGTTAAGCCAGTTTGCACTGAGAAACCTAAGTAGAAGACAGGGACAGCTTGATGATCCAGAGTCTATTAAAAAAAAAAAGAAAAGAAAAATAAACCAGAATAAATGTGCCATCATCAGCACGGAAGGTGACAAAAATTTATCTTACATGTTNTGCACATCCTACTTATATTGTCACCTCATTCTCAGAGGTGTTAATTGCTGCTCCCACTTGTAACAGTGCTCAGGGATTTTCACCTTGACCTACAAAGGAGATACTCAATTCCACATCCCTCCTCAACCCAAGGATGTCCAAATCCATCTCTCTTCCTGGCTGATACCCCAACTACCTTCATGACCCCTGTATTTTCTTGCAGGTGGGAGCTGAGAGACCCAGGCCATGTGTTGGAGAGGAGCAGATGTTCTGCAGGTGGCTTGGTGTCTGGTGTGGAGGTGATGAGCTTTCCTGTCCCATGCCTCTGATCTATGCTGGCACTGGGTGGGCAGCCAGCACTGGGCAAATGTGGTGCTTTTTCACCCAACAGCCCAGAATCCACTTGTAGATCCCAAGACTATTGTCTGTGGGATGGTGTTTTCCCACTGCAGCAAGGGTGGGATTCAAGAGTCACAAAATCTTGTGACCATTCAGCCTTGGATGGAAGGCATTTCTCAGGCAAGCAAATCTTATGCAGTGCTCAGCTCATGGGTTTACATGGGTTTAAGGCACTGGAATCCACAGGTGATTCATAGGGCGATGCAGGACCTGTCTGCAGGCAGAATTAAGCTCAAGGCAGAGCAGGGCCTTGGCTTGCCCACAAGGCTAGGTGTCCTTCTACTCAGAAATGCTTTTCCTGTGCCATCAATACCAGCCCAACAGCTAGACGGACCAGCTTTTTCCTGAGCTCACCTAGCAATTGGGACATTCTGCCAGGCTGAGAGCAGATTGCTGCCTTGGGCTCTTCTTGCTGCTCCCCAGCACCTTGCTTGAATATCTGCTCTCATGCCTGTTGGAAAAGTCAAGTGTGGCAGTGGTGGGGGTGTTGACATCAGACAATGTTCTTTGTAGAAGGGGTGATAACCACAGCCTCTTTCAATCTTAACACAATGTCCTTTTGTGGCTTTTGAGAACCCTCAACGCCTCTTCAGTCATGGTGGTAACGTTTATAGGCATGGGGTGAATGAGACTGGCTGAAATCATACTTTGTGGATGGGAAAAAACTATTATGCGTAGTATTCAAACCAAGAGTCAGAGTCCAAGAGTCCTTGTTCTCCAGTGCCTGGGAAATCCAGCAGTGTCACACAGAGCCAGGCTTCTGAAATGCATCACCTGGAGAGATGAGCAAACTGGGCAGGTGTTGTAGACAGGTAGACTCAATATACCATGTATTGTAAGCAGGGGATAAGTTATAGGTTATATTTCCCCCCAGCTTTTACCAAGGGGTACTGCGCATTTTACCTCTTTCACTTGTTGCAACTTGGTGTTGAAAATGACTCATACCAGAGCAAAGTGGGTAAAAAATCTACTGAGCCTTTGTGGGAGATGTTTATCCCACCATTTTCCTCCGGGGATTTCTTAAGGCTAGGATTTGGTTTTCTTAGTGTGCTTTCGTTCCTGTTCAAGGTAGTCACTGCATGGCATACACACTGGTCTGAAATCACTTTTACTGTTTAGAATAGTTTGCAGTTATTTCCAAACCCCAAAGACTCTCTGGTGTGAGGTACCTGTAAATCTGATTTTGTCTCTGCAGCTTTTTCTGACCATTTCATTCCTGACTTGGCTTGAGTGCCATTATCTAAAAATTCGAATTTGTCTAAGGTGATGGCCCCATTCCAGACACAAGGCAGACTTGGCACAGAGGGTCAAATAGCAGTGCAGGGCTCTAGGCATACCAGCATTCCTGAAAAATCCAGGCCTATGCAGGAGCAGAGGCACAGCATAATTTGGCCAGGCATGTAAAATACTCAGAGGCCATGACTGTGTGATCTCACGATCTGAGCAGCCAACTCTTGCTACTCTAGTGAGAGATGCTTTGGAACAGAGCATTCATATTCAGAGCCCATCCTTGTTCCTGGATTTGGAAATGTGAAGAGAGAGATGGAAAAGCCAGCCCTCCTCCTGTTCCTTCTGTTGGGCAATAGTAGGGTTAGAGCCTTTTCTTGGTCAAAACTAACAGGCAACCAACTGTTATTAAGCAAATGAGGGCTGTTCTTGCAGATATGAGCTGCATGTTGTATTAAGAGGCTCTTTCTTGTGTTTTCCTTCTTGAGGATTGTTTTGGGGACCTTGTTCCTGCAGAATGAGAGAGCAATTCTGTGGATGCTCCCTCCCAGGCTGCAGTGGAACAAGTAAGCAAATTGCAACAGGTTGATTTTTTTTTCCCCACCAGATGCTTCAAAAATCTCCTCCCCATTACTCCCTCCTTTAAAAACTTCTTCCCCCCAGCAAGGCTAGGGCTTTATCTTTACATTTAAGATGTGGCAGAGTTCCTGCATGCCTCTGCAACCCCCAGAGGAAACCACAGCAGAAACAAAAAGCTACTGGCTAACCAAACACCATCTCTGAGTTCTTTTTGCGTATGGCAACCAAAGTTATTCTGAAATATATTCAGTAATACTGGACCAAAACCTTCACAGAAAAACACTCATGTCTGCTGCTCCCATTCTAAAGATTTAAGGCCAACTGCAATCAAGAGACTTCTCTTGCTCAGCAAAGAAAGAAATGTAACAGGTTAATACTTCATTAAAAGTCAGCTAATTGGCACTCAAGTGTCCATCTGTACTTAGCAGTCAGATTGTTACCCACAGTTTTTAGATTTAATAATCAAGGTCATGCAGGGTTTAAACACTGACAAATGAGTTAAAACATAAATTGACTTTAAACCCCCTAAATTATATCCCAGGATAGCATGGTTCACTAGACAAGGAGAAAGTCTTTTCAGCAGCTGGGTTTTCAGCTGCAGCCTGAACCCTCCATGCTGAGCCAGCATGGGCAGCAGTTGGAGAAAGGCTATTATTTACCAGAGCATTACATAGCAGCACTCACAGAACCTAAAACACAAGGAAAACAGCAATTATTTCCCGTTCTTACCACTTGAAGTCCCGGTGAAGCTCCAGAGTGCCAAACAGCAAAGTGCAGTGAAGCTGCAGGCAAAGTTCACTGCCATCTCCACCACGTCAGAAGAGGAGCACAACAGCTAGAGGAGTAACTGCCCTGCTTCCTGCCAGAGAAGTGCCTCTGTGAGTGCTCTTATAGGCTGGTGGGGAAGAAAAAAACACCCTAAAACCCCCTGAATCATCACAGCTCTGATGCAGACTTTGTCTCCTGCTGATGACCACATACCTCGAAGCCCAGTCACAAAGCTGTGGTTTGGTAAATAGCAGCACCAGTCTTGCATGAGACGGGGACTTTTGCTTTGTGGTCCTCACGGACTGAGCAGAAGCGTGGACAGATACGTGTGATACAACACTGGAAAGGGTTATGGGGGTGAGGAGAGTTACAGTCATGTGCTTTAAGGATCATGGGGAAACTTCATACCTAAGAAATAGTCAATGAGCCCTGGGGATGTGGCTTTTGGCTTGCATATGTGCATCTGTATGTAGACACCTGACAGACATGTTGGGTCCAGTATCTTGCTTCCCCTGATGTGGAGATGTGGGGTTTGGGTGAGGGAGATGGGGAAGTTTTAGGGGTACCTAAAGGTACCCTGTGTGGAACGGTAGGGAAAACATTTTGGGTTTGGTGGTAGAGGAGAACATCGTACGCTACATTTATAAAAGGTGTTATGACAACAGGAAAGAGCTGCATTAGAGAAGATGAGGGGTTTTTATCAGCTCTGTGGTTGGATTCTCCAGTGCAAGTTGTTGGTTTCCAGAAAATCCTCTGTAGGCAGTCCTGGCCCATGCTGAGAAGCTTGAAACACCAGGGAAAGGGCTTAGTTGCCAGACTTTGTGGTGCAGCTGAAATAGCCAGCTGACAGATTTGGGAGACTAGGAGATGAAGTGTTGTCTCACTGAAGGGCTGAGAGGGGTGGACCTGACTTTGTTTGTGTGTACATTTGTTTCAGGTGAGCAGGAAGGTGGTGGCTGCCTTTCACTTTGCCCCAGCATTGCCCCTTTTTGAGCAGAGGCATCTTATGGCCACAGGTGAAGTCCTAATGCAGAGCACTATGGGTGGTGTAAAAGGGAGTGGAGGAAAATATTCTTAAAGTTTTGTTGTAGGAAGGGATTAGATAAGTCCTCTTTTGAAATATCCCACAGAGAAGGAATGTGGCAAGCATGGTGTGTCACACTGGTTATCAGTCCTTCTTGCATAGGCTGCTGAATCCTATGTCACTGCTAAGCTTATGGAAAACATTGACACAGAATGAGAAGGGCTATATTGAGGGGATTTTAATTACTCTCCCCTCCTTTTTTTTTTTGAGCTCTCGTGGTAGCCTGACCCATGACTGTGACATAGGTAGGGATGCCATCAGGTGTCTTCACCTCCCCCTTTTCTCCTGAAGGGCTGCTCTCTACATTTGCAACCTCGCTGACAAGTTCTGGCGAGTATCTTTCTAAGCCTATAGTCAGGTCCTCTAACGTGCAAGAAAAAGGTGGTTGGGACCTCAAAACTTGCTTGATGAGACTTAAAAGGGCTTATGGGTTTTCATTTACTCCAAGATAGAGGCATGTGAGAAATACCAACAGGATATTTTCAAGGGGTCAAAACAACTAAAAACCCCTTTCCTGGCATCTTTAGAAAATCAGCGAACATTGGCAAAATGTTTAGAGTACCCTATAGCAGCCTTCAAGTACCTAAAGGGGGTCTAGAAGACAGCTAGGAGAGGGATTTTTGATACAGTGACAGTTCCACAGGAAATGGCTTTAAACTGAGAGAAGGCAATTTTAGATTAGATATTGGGAAGAAATTATTTTCTGTGAAGGTGGTGAGGCACTGGCACAGGTTTTCCAGGGGGATTGTGACTGTATCATCCCTAGAAGTGTTCAAGAGCAGGCTGGATTGGGCTTTGAGCAACCTGTCCTGCTAGAATGTGGCCCTGCCCATGGCAGGGGGGTCGGAAGTGGGTGACCTTTAAAGTCCCTTTCCTCCCAAACCATTCTATAATCCTATAATAAAACACAACAGCAAATTCAAAAAAGCAGCATGTGTCTTCAGGTGACATATTTTTTCCTATCTTCTTCCCTTGCCCCTTCTTTCCATAGAGATTGACCATTCACAGCTCTTCCATACCAACTTTTCCTTTTTCTAGTGCCCCTTTTATGATTTTGTTGAGGAAGTTTCTCTAGTTCTTTACTCCTAGGAAGTAACAGAATGCTCACTAATGAGCAGTAGTATTAATAGTGCTAAGTGGTATTATGTAAAGAAACACAGCACAGCATCCAAAGTCCCATCAACCCCCCCTCCCCCCCCAGTAAGAGCCAAACAATATCAAACTCCTCTAAGGCCACAAGGTACATATACCTGTTATTTTTCCTAGGGAAATTTTGTGCTGTGGAATAAACCAGTGGCTGGAGACTGTGATGGTTGTCCCTTTGCAAGGTTTCATTCCAAGCAGGTGTCACTTCCTGAGATACTGCTCTGTGCCCCAAATCCATCTGAAGAAGTGGAGCAGCATGATGTTTTGCCTGACATCCAACCCCAGAAAATGAATCTGATACTCTTATCATTGAAACTCCCTGAGGGTCATTGATAGGAATTTCATCCCCTTTCCCTGGAAAGCATGTGTAGATCTCCTCTACACCAGCCCAGGGCATGTAGGGCACTTTTTGGAGTAGATTCCACTCACTGAATTTCCCAGTGTGTGAGCAGGCATCCTGAACAGGGAGAGGATAAGCGTAAGTGGGTGTAGAAACACTCACAGATTATCCCAGGGTAAACAGAGCTTTAGCTTTAAGCAAATAGTCCTGACCTAGTCTAAACCAAACTTGTGATCTTTCTGCATTAAGATGGATTATATAGATCTTGAAAGACTTGCACAGGTGAAGAACCCTCATGGATTTTTGGGTTTTTTTGTATGAGTACAGGATGTTTATTGCAAGCCTTGAGATATGAAGTCTGCTCTGTTTTCTGCAAGGGAATTTGCAGGGTTGTTACATTCTGTCTTTCACTGTTGGCTTGAGTTACAAGAGGCTTTGGCAACAGTGCAACTCTGGGGACTCCTTAGATTAAAATAAAAAAACCCAAGCAAATTTCTGTTATTCATAAATCAAGGATGTAATTATATTCTCCTTTGGACTGAAGAAACAGAAAAGTCACCGTACCTGATATTTGATTTTCATTTGGAATATGAGGTGGACTTCTTCATCATCACTTTTTGCTTCAGTTATTTGCGGCCTGATATTTGTCCCTGCAGCACAACCCAGAAGCTGCTACTATGCTTCCTGGAACAATGCCAGCAGGATCTGCAAGGGATCCTGTTGCAATTTTACTCCTGCAAATGCAATCAACATCTAGCCCTGCACTCACAACATTTCATTTTCAGTTCTGACTCCCTTTTTGTAGTTTGTGGATCAGTAGGGGACTGTAAGAAAAACAAATCTCATTAACTTTTGCAGGGAGTTGGAGGATGACTGGAGTGTGTTTGAATTGTGCATTCCAAGCTTTTAATTAAGATACATTTACCACTGTCAGTAGTTGTGGTTTTTTTCCCTTTTAAATATTGTCAACATTTTCCAAGCTTGCATCAGATCTCTAGGGCAGCTAATTTAGTTAGTGTTGCTTTAATGAAGGGTCTGAGCAAGATGCTCCATACTGGAGACCTGCACCTTGCAAGGGCAAAATATGTTGAGGTCCAGAGCAAGGAGAGTTCAAGGAAGAAGAACCAGGATAAAGAATTCAGTTGAGGACTCAGCTGCTCCTCTACCTTCCTACAGCACGAACACCTCGCCAGCCCAGCTTTTGTAAGTGAAAAACCACACGGACAAGCCACAGGATACCTGATACCCTTCTGAGGAGGGGTGTGGCTGAACAAGTTTGGTGAGGTACAAGGGGAAGGAGCATTCAGTCAGCAGTGGTGGCCACATTTGGGAATATGCGTCCATGTACTCAGTAACAAGAGGATGCATGGCAGAAATTGCTAGGTTGACCTCCAACCAGAGGCTTTGTCTGCTTGCCTTTCCTGCAGGTGCTCTGAAGCTCACCCACACTCCCCTGTGCCTTCACTGCATAAGGAACTGTGACTTTTCAAGGGGATTGAGGCTCATGTTGTTGCATCTGGCTTTTTTTTGTTTTCCTAACTGCAATAACTTCTGAATTTCCATCCAATATGAAAGCAGTCTAGGAGGCTTGAGGACAATTTGGTTACCATACATTTCTAGAGGAGATTCATGAAGAAAAAATAACTTGGCTGAGGCAGGGGTAGGGACACAATAGTGTCATTATTTAGTTAATCTGCCAGCAGCACTGTCAGCTGCTTTGAGAGATAGCTTATAGATTGCACTGCAGGGTGCTGTGATATATGTGAAGACCCCTCTATGTCTTACTTGTGGCTGTTCTACTAATTTGGAGATGCACAAACCTCCCATCCCTTCCCTTTCCAACTGAAGAGCCCAGATGCCTGGAAGCATTGACTCAGTCAGCTGGCTGGGGTCCTTTTTGGAGACCAGCCTGGTTAAATGGGTCTTATCACATTGGAAAGTGACCCTTAGGGAAGCTGCAGAGGGTTAGAGCTGCTAAAAAACCATCCAGGTGGACAAAGTAGGGGTAGCAGTAAGAGGTTGCCTCAGGATTGCAGCTGCCAAGGATCAGGTGAATGCTGGGTTTTTGGTACTCAGGATCAGTCCTAACACAAGCCATGAAAAAGCAAATGCAAGACACAGTGAGGCACTGGCACAACAATGCAGGCCTGTGTCTGCAATGCAGTGCGTGCTGCAGGTCTCCCAGTGTGAGGGGAGAAATACTGTGCTCTCTAGCTGTGTTTGAAAATCCCTTCCACAACTCAGTGGAGCTCCTCTGCCTGGCAGGTACCCAGCTATTCAGTGCTAGTGAGACTTGCATCTGACAGCCTCAGTCTGCTTTTGTTGTGTTCCCTTTCACCAGCGCTGCCAGCTCTTCCCTGATTCTTCACCTCCATGAGGAACAACCACCAGCTAATCCGAAGGAGGGCTGAGATGTGCTTTCATACACAGGTGGCAGCACCAGCATGTACAAAATGCTCCCTGGGCTATGAGGATGGTGTTGGAGAATG